AGGAGCTAGAAAAAGTCCCAACGAGGTATCCTGTTCAGCGTTGCTCTCTCTCTCTCTCTCTCTCTCTCATACACGCAAAGTTCATCGCATGCCTTACTATTAGGCGACCATTGCGCTTACCCGCCCCTCCAGCGGAAGACCCCACGAGGATCCGCTTCCTTTTTCTCTCGGTCGCCGGGTTCTCACGTTCGCGGATCGCCGGCCTTCCCCTTTTCCCCATCATGCCTTGCGCGGACGGGGAAAAACCGCCCAGTGCGTGGCGTGTAGGGGTTGCGACGCTTTCAGCGCCGGCGGCGGGTTGTGTCTCTTCCTCCTTGCCAGGAGAAAGGTCGCTAACGAGAGTCTGCAAATCTTCGGGTGACTCTCCGCGTGCATTTTCCCATTCGGAGCGCATATGCATTTGACTGTGAGTCACTCGCCCTTTTCTCTCTTAAGCAATTAAAAAATTTAAAGGGGGGAGGGAGAGGAGGGGAGAAGGAAAAGACCTTTAAAACTAATCCGAGCCTGAGATTGGGAGATCAGTTCCACTTCTTTTAGGGTCTGGGCTTGATAATTCATTCATAGAGCCTCCGCAGTTCTGAGATGATGATGATTTGGGTCAGGGTGAGCTTTGGAGGATCAAAATCCACTTCCTCAGACACCTGCCTAAAATATATTGGGGAATGAAAACATGCATACTGTACATATATTATTTCCTGGGCTGGAAATCATGTATGCAATGTATACATGATTTCTGGCACATCAGAAGACTTCCCAGCTTTATTTCACCGTGAACTTCGGTAGATTATCCTCCACTTTCTCGGACACTTGAGGAATTCAGTTTTTAAAAACAACAATCTCATTTAAAAAAAAAAACTCTTAGGTGTCTGACTGCAGAGCCAGAGGCTGGGAGTTAAATTCAGTATCCCTCCTTTAGGAACGGATGAAACAGATACCGTAAACACATCCCAGGAGAGCCAGCCTGTGTGGTCTTGGGCAAGCTGCAGAGTCCCAGGGTGCCCCCAGAAGAAGGGAATGGGAAACCATGTCTGAGTATTCTTTACCTGGAAAACTCTGAAAAAGAGTTAGCATAAGTCAGAATTGACTTGATGGCACTTGGAATCATAGAAAAATGAAATTGGAAGGGGCCTATAAGGCCATCAAGTCCAACCCTCTGCTCGTGGCAGCAATACAAATCAAAGCATATCTGCCAGGTGATTATTTTAAGTTTTTCTTGAATGCCTCCAGTGTTGGAGCACTCACCAACTCCCAAGGAAACTGATTCTACTGTCATACTGCTCTAACAGGAAGTTTTTCCTGACATTCAATCGAAATCTGGCTTCCAGTAACTTGAGCCCATTGTTGCATGCCCTACACTTGGGGATGATCGAGAACAGATCCTGCTCCTCCTCTCTATGGCAGCCTTTCAAGTATTTGAAAAGTGCTATCACACCACCCCTCTGTCGTCTTTTCTCAAGGCTAATCAGTCTTTCAGTCTTCGTTTCCCGCCCATTGATCATCCTTGTCACCCTCATCTGAACATCATCACTACAATTATCAAGTGATTATTAAAAGTATGAGAGAACTGTCCTCTTTTTCATCTGGTGGTCATCCCATATTAAAAAAAGAGATAAATCTCTCTTTAGGAATCCCCCATCCCCCAAAACATGAGTCCAAAGGAAACTTCATGTTCACCTCAGAACTGACTCCCTTTTGTTTCTTTCACGTTGGAGACCCTATTCCATAATATTCACAATGAAAAAGAGATTTCAGTGTTGGTATATATACAGTGGTGCCTCGCATTACAACGTTAATTCCTTCCAGCGAAATCGCTGTAGAACTAAAACATCGTAATGCGAAAATAAAAACCACATTGAAACCCCTTCAATGCATTCCAATGGGCTGGAAACTCACCATCCAGCGAAGATCCTCCATAGGGCGGCCATTTTCGGTGCCTGTGCAGCGAGGAATCCGTCCCAGAAAACAGCGGGGAGCCATTTTATTTACCCGGTGGCCATTTTGAAACCGCCAATCTGCTGGAGGAAAATCATCGTTTTGTGAAGAATTGGTTCCCAAAGCAGAGAACCAATCATCGCAAAGCGAAAAAACCCCATTCAGACCATCGTTTTGCGATTGTGGCAAGATCGTCGTAATGCAGTTTCATCATAATGCGGGGCAATCGTAAAGCGAGGCACCACTGTAGTATATTTCCTCTGATATGTTGGAGTAACCAAGCAAAAGGGAACAAAGATTCTGAAACAGAAGCTAACTGCTCATGTCATTATAGCTCTTGTCTTGGCCTTGTCTTTATGCAGATTCCAGCCAGATAAAAAAGAGATTGGATGTTTAAAAGAAACACATGATTTGGATACTTGTGAGAGAAGCACTGTTCCCTTCCTTCCACAGCTGCGTAAGAGTTGAACCCTTCCGCTTCTGAGCATGAGGTCAGTGCAACTTAACTGCAGCGCCAGGCGGCATCTGTGTTCTCTCTGCCGCCTGGTTCTCCAGGCTCAGCAGAAGGGCCATGATGGATCTGGAGGCTGCCGGTCTTTCTCTCAAGCAAGTACGACTGACCCGCACGGTCAGGTAGGAAGAATGGCCCATCTAAAAAATAGGACGGAGAAGCAGAAGAGGCAGCGGAAGAGGATGGAGTCCATCGAAGCCCAGCTGGCTGCTGGGCTAAAGGTGAGTGGCGTTGCCTCTGGTATCCATAATGATGATGGCCAAATCTGGATAAATTGGCCATGGGAAGGAAATCGAGATACAGTGGTGTCTTGCTTAACAACGATAATCTTTTCCAGGAAAATCACTGTTAAGCTAAAAACGAAATTAAAAAGCCCGTTGAAACACATTGCAAACCCATTCAATGTGTTCCAGTGGGCTAAAAACTCACCATCCAGCGAAGATCCTCCATACGGCGGCCATTTTCGGTGCCTGTATAGCGAGGAATTCGTCCCTAAGCACAGCAGGGAGCCATTTTAAGTACCCGGCAGCCATTTTGAAAACCCGACGATCAGCTGTTTTTGATCGTCATAAAGCGAAAATGGGTTCCCGAAGCAGGGAGCCGATCATCGCTAAGCGAAATTCCCCCATTTAGACCATCGTTTTGCGATCGCAATTGCGATCGCGAAAATATTGTCATAAAGCGGATTTGTCGCAATGCGGAGCAATCGTTAAGCGAGGCACAACTGTATATATAGATGTGGGTGGAGCTGTAGAGCATGTGGAGAGCAGGATGAAGCTGGGTGAAATTTAAGTCCAGCTGAGCCATTCATGCCATCCATTAAACAGAATTCAAGAGAGAGGTGGGGTACCTTAGATTCTCCAGATATTACGGACTTCAACTCCCATCAACCCTCCTCGGCATAGCAGGGAAGGGATTCCAGATATGGGAGGACCAAAGATTCATTCACCCTGATGTAACTAGATTCAGCCCATGAGCTTTACAGCAAAGTTGGGGTTTGAACCTGGATCTCCCGGGTCCTGATCCGTTATTTTAACGACCTTGCTACACTCTTTTATTATCAGTATGAATCCGCTTGATGGTGAGGTTTTGCGATCGCAAAACGATGGTTTGAATGGGGTTTTCCTGCCTTGCAATGATTGGTTCCCTGCTTCGGGAACTGATTTTCGCTTTACAATGATCAGCAAACAGCTGATTGTCGGGTTTCAAAATGGCTGCCGGGTGTACAAAGTGGCTCCCCGTTGTGTTTAGGAGCCATTTTTCGCTTTACAGGCACCCGAAAATGGGAGCCCCTATGGAGGATCTTCGCTGGAGGGTGAGTTTTCAGCCCATTGGAACGCATTGAGGGGTTTTCAATGGGTTTTTAAATTTTGTTTGACGACATTTTTGCTCTACATCTACAGCGATTTTGCTGGAACGAATTAACATCGTCAAGCGAGGCACCACTGTATATTCTTTCCCCACAAGGTTATTCCTGATGGACAGTGTTGCTTTCTCCTTCACCAGACAGATCTTTTCGAAACACCTCTCTGTTTTTAACTGTGGTTTATTTATTTAGTCTCCTTTATCAGGCACTTTTCTCTATAGCCCTTAACAAGATGAAAACAAGAAAAATTAAAACATAAGAAACAACGTATGAAAAAACAAATCAGTTATCTCTTTAACTGTTCACAGGAGGAGCCTCCAAGCCAAGAGAAGGGGAGAAGCTCGAAAAACACGGTTCTATACAACATCCCGACTGAACCTGGGCAAAAGAAAGGTAGGATGGGTGAACTTAATCATAACCTTAAAACAGCCCAAAGAATCAATACCAAAAGGTAGTAGTCCTAATCATGACCAGCTAGGGAACGTATGTGTAAACAAATACATCTTCAATAGGCTTTGAGAAATGAGAAAAACTAATATCTTAAGCTGTTACACAAACAGAATATATTAGGTGCTGTCGCTCAACCTCTTCGGCTCTACTTGCTCATTTCAGTGATGCTGTAGAATCCAGTAGAAGTCCTGTGAGAAGCCAGGATACGAAGGAAGTCCTTTTCCCATGCTGGCCTATGTGTTTTTTTTCTTAACAATTGACCTTATTTTTGCCTAGTAGCGTTGACTTGCTATTCTAGATTTTAGGGTTTATTTTATTTATTCAAACTATGCAGCTTGCTACTATAGTGCTTCCATTAGAATCTGAGATTTTTGACATTGTGCCTGTGCGTTCTCTAGATTTTTTCCCCCTCATCCAATATATGCACAATAAACTTGCCTCTTCAAAACAAAATGCTGTTATTTCCCAAATGCAGATTGTATTTATAGATTGTATTTATTTAGTTAAAATATTTTTACCCCGCCCCTCTCCTTAAAAGGACCCAAAGTCACTTAGATCATTAAAAGACAATGATTAAAGATAGAAACAATACTAAATACTAAAAAGGATCAAACAAATAGACTTGGAGAGATGGTAAACAAAAGCAATACAAAAAAGCAAAGATCTTGACCTGCTTGGAGAGAAAGATCTTGGCCTGCTTGCAGGACAGCAAAGATGGGGCCAGTCTGGCCTCCAGTGGGAGGGAGTTCCAAAGTCTTGGAGCACCAACAGAGAATACGCTCTCCTATGTCCTCGTGAAACAAACCTGTGAAGGTGATGGGATGGAAAGGCATGATGATGCTAACACTCAAGTAGGCGCATAATGGGAGACACGATCCTTGAGATAGCTTGGACTCAAGTGGTTTAGGGTTTTATAGGTTAGAACGAGCACTTTGAATTGTGCCCAGAAATGGATAAGCAGCCAATGGAGCTGCTATAACGGGGATGATGTGATCCCTTTCACCAGCCGCAGTTAGCAATCTGGCTGCAGTGTTTTGGTTCTAGTGATGCCTCCTGATATTTTCCTTAGGTAGCCTCACATAGAACGTGTCACAGTAATGCAGCTGGACTGTAACTAAGGCTTGTGTCACTGTGGCCAGATTTTCACAGCACCGTTTATAGGGAGTGCACAAATGTCTAGTTTTGACTGCCAGCCTTTGTGTGTTTTGTTCTTTCCTGCAGATACCTCAGGGCCGCTGCCTGCCTCTTATAGCCCACGCTATGTTGAAGCTGCTTGGTACGCTTGGTGGGTGAAGGAGGGATTTTTTAAGCCAGAGTACCAGGTAGGACATCTGTCCTGTTAAAAGGAAAATAAACTCTGTCATAAGCAAGTGAAGCAGAGACTCTTTCCTGAGAGATACATGGATAGATGAGCAAAACCCACTAGATGACTTAGGGGAGACGCAATAGGTTAAGGGATGGAGGGAGTGGATAGAAAACCTTTTTTTCATAGTTTTCCTCTAACAGGAAAACCAGTCATAGTTGAATCATTTGCCATTAAATTCAGAGTGGAAGTATTTCTTGTAATATGCGATTAATTTTGGACTTCACTCGTGCTAAAGCAAAGCAAAATCTGCTATTTATATACTGCCCCATACAGCTTAAAGCACCCTTTGGGCAGTTTGCAACATAATTATGCAATGAGCACTTTGCCTTCAAGGAAGCTGGGTGCTCATTTTACCAACCTCAGAAGAATGGAAGGTTGATTCAATCTCAAGCTGGCTAACCTGGCATTGAACTCAGGTCATGCGCAGAGTCTTGGCTGCAGTGCTGCAGTTTAACCACTGTGTCACAAGGCTCCTGTTAGAGATACAAAGATGGCACGGCTTAAATGCCTTTGCAAAGGGCAGATTTGGTGGAATACACGTCGTTGCTCCACAGGACAGGAGAGGAAATTAGAAGAGAGGAGAAACACAGGAGTGGAGAATGTGTGGCCCTCCCAGATGTTGTTGTTCTGCAGCTCTTGTTACCTCTTGCCATTGGCT